GGGACTACAGGCATGAGCCACCACACCCGGCTAATTTTTTCTATATATTTTTAGTTGTCCAGATAATTTCTTTCTATTTTCTTTTAGTAGAGACGGGGTCTCGCTCTTGCTCAGGGTGGTCTCGAACTCCTGAGCTCAAACAATCCACCTGCGTCGGCCTCCCAGAGTGCTACAGGATTACAGGCGTGAGCCACCGCCCCCGGCCTTATATTTCAAAATAGCTAGAAGAAGGGACTCGAAATGTCCCTAACACACAGGTGGACATCCAAATACCCTGACTTGATCAGTACACACCCTCTGCATGTAACAAAATATTACATGTACCCCATAAATATGCACAAATATTATGTATCAATTAAAATGTTGCTGAAGAAGACTCATTGGCATGGGAAAATATTCATGATATACTAAGTAGAAAAAACAAAGCATAGTAAAAACAGTACCACAAAAAAATAGTACCACCTTTTAAAAAATGTGTATAGAGACAAGAGAACAAAATCTTGAAGGACATACAAAAAATATTAACCAAAGGGCTCTCTGCAATTAGGGATGAATTTTCATTCTTTGCTGCATTTTTAATATTTTCTATGCTGAACATTTACAGTATCTATCAACGGAAAAGTCCCAATATCATGAAAGGTCCTTCTTTTGGGAGGGACCTGCTATATCACCTAGTGTGTGTTCCAACTCTCTCATTATATAGATGAGCAAAATGACTGAATTAAGTTGGTTCAAGCCTGTGATTTCTGACCAAAGTGCAATGCTGAAAAATAAGAATTATAATAAAATTTATTGCACCAACTAATCATTAGGTTTATTCCACTGTTCTTAAGTCTGCTACATAAGTGGCTGAATTCTTCCTCTATAGGTTTAGTTTTTCTAATTACAATATATTTTCTATTGACAGTGGTTTTGTAATTGGCACCACTGGAAAGTATTTTGGCAATACATAGCAAAAGCCATAAATTGCTCAATCATATCCTCTAACTCAGTAATTACTCTTTTGAGAATTTAAAGAAAAAAAAATAAAAGCTGAAGGCACAGAACACAGAGATGTTCATAGTAGAGTTATTAATAATGGTGAAAAAACTGGATAGATTAAATACCTAACAATATGAATGATTACAATAATTTTGTGCTTCAATTTAATTGGATACTATTCAGTTATATGGAAAGGTTTTTTTATAAAACAAGGTGGGAGAACACCCTTCACAAGTATGTAAAGGAGATTTTTGAAAGTTATATAAGGTAGTTAAGAATTATGGAAAAAATGTTTTCTTAAAATTTCAATGTGTTGAGGGGGAAAAATAGGAGCTTTAACCATGTCCTGGATTTGCAGGCTTTGTCCCTATGGTTTCGTCGGACTTTAGCATGATTCAGAATCCCCAGAGAACCTGTCACGACATAGAATGCTGGGCTCCATGCCCAGCTTCTGATCCAGTAGGTCTGCAGGGGCCCAAGAATTTACATTTCTAACAAGCTCCCAGGTGATGCTGATGCTGTCGATCTGGGGAACACTGAAAACCACTACTCTAATCTGAGGGGTTTAATTACCCATTTAGAAGGCAGGGCATGAAGTCCCAGACTTGGGGTGCAGGGTGATTGTGTCATTGTGCCAAAGCTTTCCCATGCTCACCTTTTCACTTATTCTATTTTTTATTTAACACACATATATAATGTACCAGGCACCATTCTGGGGGCTTTCCAATATTAAGGATTTTAATCTTCATAACTACCTTTAAGGGACTGGATCTGCAGTCAGCACTGAGGAGTCTGAGAATAACCCACAGGGACCCCATCTGTGTGAGACCTTGGTTTCAAAAGGAGAAAAAGAAAAAGAAACGAAGCTGCTAGGCTGCAGCGTGTGGTACTGTTTTTCTACCAAGTTATCTTTTACTCACAGGCCAGACGGCTACTGCTTTTGGTCAAGGTCAAAGTGATTACTCTCACGTCCCCTGCAAGTCACCTGGTAAGCGTGGTCGGTGTGCACGAGGTAGAGGGTGGTGGGAGCTGAGCGGCTCAAGGGCGTCATCAGTTTAGTCTCGGTTTTGGCACAAGGAGTTTCTGTTCGGCTTGAATCTGGGATGGGGAAAGTAGGAGGCGAGGCCAGGGACTGGGAAGGTGAGACCGGGGCCAGGCTGCTCAGTCCTTCGGCCACTGAGTCTGTGTTGAGCTTGATCTCAGTGTAGTAAAAGTCCTCTTCTCCATCGCTGTAGTCAGAGTCCCCGACACGCCTAGCACAAAGACAGCAAAACAATCGTACTAAGCCAATCTTTGCCTTGAAATCTTGCACATTCTGTTACCTCTGTCTAGAACGCTTTTCCTCTCTCTTGTCTGCCTGGAAAACTCTTGCTTATCCTATAACACTCAACTGTCTACTTCCAGAGGAGCCTTCATGAGCTCTTAAAGCAATTCATTCATTCATTCATTCAATCAATAATTCAACAACAATTTATCGAGACTCTTATGTCCAGGCACTGTGCTAGGGTCTCCTGATATCACAGTGAACAAAGGATAGACCCTTCCCTGATGGAACTTTTAGTCTAGTGGGGGAGGCAGAAAAGGAACCCATAGAGAAATAGATATTTAATATGTCGGGTGTTGATAAGTCCCAGAAAGAAAAATTAAGCAGCAAAAGAGTGACCTTAATCAGGGAAGTGATTGGGAGGGAGGCACTATTTTAAATATTCAGGGAAAGCCCCTTGAGGAGGTGACATCTGAGCGGGGACCCGCCTAAATGAAGTGCGGGAGAGACCGTGCTGGAACCCGAGGGAAGAACATACCAGGGAAGAGGGACACGGAGCCCCTAGGTGGGCAGGCCTGGTGTTTTCCAAGAAGGCCGAGAGGCCAGAGGCTGGAGCTCAGGACACAAGGGAGCGATGAGAAGAGCGAGGACCAGGCAGAGGCCAGATCACATAGGGCTTTGTAGCCCATGGCAATGGCTTAGCTTATATTCTGAATGTGATGGGAGCCACTGGGGGTTTTGAGAAAAGAAATATCCAAATCACTATCGATACTGTCTAGAAAATAGAGGGCAGGAGGGCAAGAGCAGGAGCAAGAGCTGTTGTCAGCAATAATTCAGATGAGCACTGACGGGGCCTGGAGAGGGCCACAGCCGCAGAAGTGATGAGAAATCACGTTCTGGATGTATTTTGAAGGTTAGGAGTTAGGGCTTAACTCCTGTTAGTTCTCTGTGTTCCCTTTGAAGTGTGTTCATCCTTTAGTTAATTACTTGCCACCTTTCTGTAATTTTTTTTAACCCCTTTGTTGCCTCACTGTGACAGTGATTCTCCAGGGCTGTCTTGTTCATCTTTGTGTCACCCCACACATATCGCGGTACTTGGCATAGAGTAGATACCTATTAAATGTTGAACAAATGCATGAATGAATGAAAGAATGAAAGAAGCTGAGGTTGGAGCATAGTGATTAAGAGCATGGATTTTGGGCTTGGACTTCCTAGGATCAAATCCTGACTCTGACACTTTCTAGCTGTGTGTGTGATTTTGGCAGCCTCCACATAGCTTCCGTGCCTCAGTTTCTTTATTTGTAAAATGATTATTGTAACAATTAAGTGAATAAATATAAAGTGCTTAGAAATGTACCTGACACATAATAAGCACTATGTGTTTATTAAATAAAAATAAGGACAATGTCAGAAGGTCTTAATTTTTACTATCATCAGGAAAAGTGTCTTCTTGGGTGCTTTCAAAGTTCTTCTTCCTGAGACACGCTACATTGTACTTTTCCACAGAAAGTTTTGAGTAAAATAAAGTAACTGTCTGTAACCTCAGAAAACATTTATTACATTTGTTAATTTCTAGAGAAGAGGTGCGTATCTAACAACCTGGTCATGGGTGCATCCAGGGGTGGCAGCAGATCACTGACTCAGAACAAACTTTTCTGGATTCATGATCCCTATGTAGAACCTAAAAACAAAAATCCACCCCCTACCTCTGCCCAGGCCTTTCTGGTTTGTCCCAGCCTAGTTCATTTCCCCTGAGCTCTCAAGACTCTCAGGCTGAGGCGTCTCGGGAGGTGTCTTTGTACCATATCAGGTCTGGCGGGCTTGGCTTTCAGACCAGCATACCATCAAAGACCCCAGAGAGTGGGACGAAGAATGAGCGTCTGTTCTATTCCTGTCCCCACTTCCTTTCCAGTTAAAGGCTGGCTGAGTTGCTGCTGCTGCCAAGTGCTACTAATAGACACACAGGCCTGGGGGAAATTGTGTGTCCTACATGGGGATAAATCAGGACCAGCCCCTGGTATACAAGAACGGAGTGAGATTTAAGAGAAAAACAGTGTACTTTTTATACTGGCCAGGTGCGCACTGTAGCTACATCAGATGCAACAATGTGTCTTCTTTGGGCTTTGATATGCTTCCCTCCTCCCCTCCTCCCCCAACAGCCAATAGTCATTAAAAATGTCTCATCATCCTAGAGTCATGCAATTGAGCTCAGGGATTAAGGCAGAGGCATGTTCTCTCTTCCAGTCCAGGACAGAGCTTAGGCCCCGGGCTTCATACACACAGACTACCCGTGCAGTCCTGCTAACCCAGGCCTGTTCCTGCGTGGTGGCTGGCAGGGCTGTGAACCATAATTCACCGAGGCAATTCTAAAAGCACATCAATACGAAGGGGGTCTTAGGGAAGCAAATAAAGTGGCTGCATTTTGAATTCCACCCCCTGAGAGAGCACCCCGGGAGCTCAGAGGAAAATCATGTGATGTCGCTTACAGTCTATAAATGCATATATACAGGATGTGCTTCTGAGTGGGGCTGAATAGGATTCAATTTTCTGGGCAGGCATACTTTAAAACAAATACTGTACCTCTTGGCTATAGCTTTGGAAGTTCGTTCGAAACCTTTAAATAACTGAGTGGTTTACATTGTGAATTGTCTGGACAATGAGATTTGAGGGGAGACACTACAGGCTTTCCTTCCCTGAAGGTTTGAGGAACAGGAATGAGGGTGTTCTGCCTGCAGGTATTTCAATGTGGTATTTCTTAGACACGAAGGTGGACCCTCTGGAGCAGAAGCCCAGTCTTGCTGGGCCACATTCCAGTCCTTGATGACCTTCTGGGTGCACTGGAAGGTTCTGGTGTATCCCCAAATATCAGCCTGAAGGGTTAGAGAGGTAGATCCCTGTTTCTCTAGGTGATTAGCAACATCACCTTAGCACCTGTTTTTACCTTCTGCCTATATGACTTGTTATGGACGATGCATCTCCTAAATTTCTCCCTTGCTGGGTAAAGTGACTATTTCGTTTTATTTCTCTGCACTTATCTTGTTGAAAGGACTCTTCTGTGTCCAAGCATGCGAATGCTTGATCATGCATTTGTGTTTGCCTATGAACACTGGTGATGGCTTATGGCTTCTCAAGGTCCCTTCTAAGTCCCAGCTCCCTGGATCAGAAAGACTCAGGGTGACAGCACAAGACTGCCGGAGCATCACTGCCCCCATGGGGTGATCCCTACCCACTGTGGCTCCCAAAGATTCATTTTATCTTTCCTTTAGAAAGGTTGTTATATCATATGAGGAAAAGTGTAGATTTTTTACAAATAAAGGGCTTATTTAAGCAACAGAAAGGGATTGAACCAGATCATTTATAAGAACAGCAACAGCAGAATTGATTGGTATGATTCTTCAATCCTTCTTAGGCTATATATGCCTTTGAGGTTCAAAGTCATGAATATTCTCCATGGGAAAAATAAATGCACATTTCATTTTATAGATCATTTCAGGGGGTTCAAGGACCCCTTGAAGTCCAAACACAGATTCCAGGTGAGGAACCCCTACCCTAGTATTTTATACAAGTATCTCTCACCTACATTTCATCTTTGACCCTCACACATGACCCTGCAGAGCTGACATTATTCTCATTTTCAGAGGGAACTGGGCTCAGAGCAGTGACTCAGTAAGTAAACTTGGGAGGCTTTATGATGTTAAATCCTTGTTCTTTCCGCTGTGCCACAGTGGCCTATATCATCTGCAGTGGCCATCTTTCTGGAGGTTAGCAAGACCAAGCCATCCCAGCATCCAGAACTTTCAAGGCGCAGTGTGGTGTGCAATTTCTGAGTGCGGGTGGCCCTAGACTGAACTGACAGAGACTGCTAGCAGTTCTGAAGGGAGGGACATCTCACCCCAGATGGATGGTCCGGATGTGTTTCTGGATACCTGCCGCAGTGCTCAGCACCTTCCCACAGTTTTTCCAGAGGCATTTGAACATTACCTTCATGGAGTTCTATAAAGGGGAGAGAAAGTTACATCAACATGAAAACATGAAAACTATTTTCTTTCTGTCATCAAAACATACTTTTTCCTTCATTGGGTAAGTAATAGCTTCCCATCCTCTTGACTATAACTCAGCACACTGTTCTGGGACCCCCCCACCCCCGAGGCTGGTGAGTATCCTGGTGACCTCAGATATTTTCCCACATCCTTCATGAGAACTGAGCTCTGCTGGAATATTCCAGATCACATTCATGCCCTTTAGACTGTAAACACAGTGGCTAACATCCACTGGGAGTGTTCACTATGTGGCAGGTGCTGTTTTAGGTGTTTATCTCATTTAATCCTAAGAGATACGTGCTCTTATTAATCTCCATTTTACACGTGCATAGAGAGCTTCAGTGAAGAGCATCCGGTCAATGAACTGGCTGCTGGCAACACCGGAATACGAATCCAGGGAGTCTGGCTCCAGAAACCATCCTCTCCACCAGTACAGAATTCTACCTTCTTCAATGAGAGTCCCAGTATTTTCCAAAACAGTCCAGCACTACGATCGAGAGCACTGATTTAGGACTTATTTATCAAGTCCTCAGTGCTCTTATTTATAAAGTAGGAACATTAATAGTACCTGTCTCATAGGGTTATTGTGAGGATTAAATGAGGTCAAGGAAGTGAATCAGCAGAATGTTGACAGGAGTAACCATTTAGCCAATGGCAGCCATTACAGTATCATTATGATTATGCTTCCTGCAGTGAATTTTATAGGGAATGAGTGTTCTCCAGGGAGGTTCCTTGTCACTGGGATGCTGTCTCTTTGCTGACTGTTCCCTTGGGCTTGGTGACAGTTCCTTTCGTGTATTCACTAAGCCCCATATCCTTTTTCTCCTGGGCACACAGCTAGACCTCATTTCCCAGCCTTTTTTGCAGCCAAGTGGGCTCACGTGACTGAATTAGGGCTCATGGAATGTGGGCAGAAGTGACATTCCTCCTAAGCCTCACCCTAAACCACTTCCCAATGTCACCCCCCAGCACACTCTGTTGACTAGATGCAAAGGGCACCCAAGGATTGAGAGGGCAGCAGAACCACTAGATGAGGGGCTCTTAATCTTTTGTTTGCCATGAACCCTTTCAGAAGTCTGGTGAAACCTATGGACCCTTGCTCAAAATAGTGTTTTTAATGTTTAAAATACATAAATTACAAAGAAAAGTAAGTATATTGAAATACAGTTGTAAAAACATTAATGATATTTTGTGATATGGCAATATGTGTACTCTCTAACAGACTAAATAACAAGACCTTGAAGTGGGTCTACTATCATAATTTCAAAGTAATGTTAAGCATAAATGATATTTCATGACAGCTACTAAAATTATGTGGTATGAAATATCTATGATTTCTATTGGGATTAAAGTCATACATAGGTGGTGCTATTATTATTACAGATTGATGCCTTCAATCATAATTGCAGGAAACGTTAAATTACAGTTAAAAGGTTGGTGACAATAAGGATATACATTTTCCCTCCATCCAAGTTCACAGACCCCCTGAATTTTGTGCCTCCCTTTGGGGATCTGTGGACTCCAGGATAAGAACCCCCACACCAGAAGGAGGAGCATGGGTCCCTGGAGAGCTGTTTGGAGCAGAGACACCCCACCTCCTTCTTCATCCCCACTGACCCGACTGGATTGTGACATAAGAAATAAATAAACCTTTGTTGCATTTAAGCTACTGAGTTGTTCTGACAGTAAGCCTATCCTGACTGACAAACATAGCAGCGGTGACACCTTCCCTCAACTGATGGAACTGATGTAGCTTGGTTTACGTGTCTAGTAGGATTTCTGCCATCGAGTACTTGCAGTTCCCACCGTCATATTCCCAGTTCTCCAAAGCGATCATTTACACATTTAGAAGGCGACTTATCTGGCTATTACTGTTGGTATCAATATCCAGATGACTTATCTCCCACTGACGACTTTCTCTAGGTTTCTGAATTGAAAAAGGCACTTGGAAACTTCCAGAATTAAGGAGTATCTGTGTGTTAGTGAATGGGCGCTTTTAGCATGGCAAGCAGAGGACAGAGCCTGGCAGCACGTTGCTGCAGTCTGCTAGAGCAGGTCACTGACAATGTAAACAGCCCACCGTCCCTGTGAGATTCGTGAGCCCGGTGGCCTGCTGTGACCCAGAGGCTCTGCCCGGGCCCTGGCATTCACAGCAACCTCGCTGTTCCTCCTGCAGCGCCTGGCACCACACTCAGCTCAGCGATGCTCCCCTGCAACGTGTGGCGTCGAGCTGTAGGAGCCGGAGCTACAAGAAGCTAGAGCTGAAGCTCTTAGAGGGATGTGAAGACTGAGAAACAAAGATGCAATTAGGAGACTTTATAATACATGATCCTGGTGAGTCTGAGTTTATTCTAAGGAGACAGCTCATAAGTTTCAGGCTCCCTGATCTCCCTGGGCCACTGATCTAAACATAAAGGATGTAAGATGAGCCAGAAAGGGTGATTTAAATCCCATCCCCAACCTCCAAGGTTCACAAAAAGGAATCCTGCTTGATGTTTTTAATTCAAAGCATTATTTTATTTAAAGCATATAACCTAACACTATTATCTTAGGCCCTTTTGTGTTGCTCTAAAGGAATACCTGAGGCTGAGCAATTTGTAAAGGAAAGAGGTTTGTTTAGCTCCCGGTTCTGCAGGCTGTATAAGTAGCATGGTGCCCGCATCTGCTTGGTTTCTGGTGGGGGCTTTTGAGTGAGTCAAATCATGGAGGAGGAGGTTAAAAGGGAAGCAGGAATGTGTGAAGAGAGACCAAACCTAAGGGGGTGTCCTAGCTTTATGACAACCCACTCTCCTGGGAATTAATCCATTCCCCCAACAACCCCACGAGAACCAATCCAGACCCATGAGAGCAAGAACTCACTCATTACCAGGGAGGGTGGATCCTCCCGACACCACCACATTGGTGATCAAATTTCAACCTGAGGCTTGGTGGGGACAAACCAACGCCATCAAACCATGGAAAATATTAATGAACAAATCCTTACACTAGGAATGCTTTCTGCCCATTTTTCAAGTAATGGAACTACAGTATAGAAAATATCTTCCACTTAAGGGAATTAATGACTTAAACTAAAATGACAGGTACCTGATAGTCCAAGTGTCTGTCTGGAAATGAAGTCATGATAGATGAAAATACTTCTTGGTTCATTCCTAACCCTTTTGCTGATGACATTCTTTCATTCATTAAACTAAATATATATTTAGCAAGGAACACTAGGTGCTGGGGATAGAGAACAAAAAAAGAAAAGTGGCCGCTCTCTAGAAACTGAAATTCTTGTTGGGGAGAGATAGAAATTCTAATGATGACCATTTCAGATATGGCATGAGGCCTTTAGAAGGTGACTTTTCAGCTGGGACCTGAAGGTTGGAAAAGGAGTCAGTCAAGCTAAGAGCTAGAGTATTGGAGATAGAGTGAAGAGTTAAATGCCTTTAACCCGCATTTGGGTGAGGCGAAGACATAAAGTGTAACTATAATGTTTGTACCCTCACAAAACCCTGGAATAATAAATAAATTAAAAAAAAAAAAAGAGTTAAATGCAAAGGCCTGCGACGAGAAAGAACGTGGCATGTCGGAGGGCCAGAAAGAAGGATCGTGTGTTCAGCATGAAATGAGGGAGGGAGCGATCTTTTTGAGACAAGGTGGAAAGGCAGGGCCAGACCATGTGGGGTTTGTAGGTAAAGAATTTGGATTTTATCCTAAAATAAGAGAGAAGTTACTGAAGGAGAGGAGTGACACTATACAATTTAGGTTTTTAAAACATATTACTCGTCTAGGGGAAGACAGAAAATAAGGTCACCAGTGTAGATGCTACTGTAGGTTAGAGGAGATGGTGCCTTAGAAGGTTTGGGCAGCAAGGATGGAGAAAAGTAGACATATTCTAGACACATATTGGAGGCAGATCCAACAGTACTTGCTGTTGGGTTGAATATGAAGAATGATAAAAGGGTTGGTATTAAAAATGACTTCTATGTTTTAGGTTTGAATGACTGGGTGAATTGTGGTTCTATTTTGGATATGTTAACGTACTGCCATCGAGTACGTGCAATTCCCACTGTCATATTCCCGGTTTTCCAAAGCAATCATTTACACATTTAGAAGGCGACTTATCTGGCTATTACTGCTGGTATCAGTATCCAGATGACTTTTCTAGATAGCCACTCCCACTGAAGACTTTCTCTAGGTTTCTGAATTGAAAAAGGCACTTGGAAACTTCCAGAATTAAGGAGTATTTTGAGATACCTATCACATATCAAAAGGAGGTAGCAAGCAGGACACTGGATACATGAGCGTGGAATCAGGGAAAGTCAGGCTGGAGATATAAATTTGGAGTTAGGAACTGAAGGAGCATTTAAGACATGATGGGCTCCAGATGAGACCATCTAGGGAAAAATGTAGCTAGAGATGATTAGAGGGCTCAGGACACTGCAGCATCCAGTATTTTATGTTGGAGATTTAGAAGGAACAGTCAGAAGTAATCAGGACAGTTTGGGATTAAAAGCACAAACAGAAGAAAGTGTGTCAGGAAGGAAGATGTGACCAACTGCGTTGATGACTGGGACGTACCCCTTGGGGTCAGTATTCGGAGGCTGCTGGTGGCCCATGGCAGCAGGTCTTCCAGAGTGGTGGGAATGGAAGTCAGACTGGCAGGGACTGAAGAGGAAGTGGGATGTAAGGAAATGGATCGAGTAAGTGCCAACGTTTTCAAGTTTTGCTGATCTACGAGCATCCAAGGGAGGGTTTATAAAGATGAGTGATACTAAAGGAAGTTTTCATGCTGATGGGAACGACTGCAAAGACAGGGAGAAGCTGAAGGTGCAGTAGAAATGTGGATGGAACTATAGGAGGCGGGAGGAGAGCAGTGCTCACGCCCACCGCACAGGCGGAGGGGCCACCTTGGACCAGACAGGACGGTTCTCCACTAGAAAAGGAGGGAAACCAGATGGTGGCTGCAGA